TGTCGTTGACTCCGACCGGATGCAGTGCAGCTATCGAAAATCATTAGTCCATTTTACTATATGAATCTCTTTTGTTGGCCATCGGCTGCTCCTTAATCTATTCTACTCGCTCGCTAGACTCGCTTGTGAAACGATATTGATCATTCTCATTGTTCACGACGTATACAATCGCGTAACATTTTTCATAGTAACCTGACTTCTCGCACAATACCATTGTCTGGCACTTTAATAATTACTATACTGCGGATTTATAAAAAAATATATGGAAATCAGAAATATCAAAGATTAATGTATATCAAAGATTACTATCTGAAATAGTCGATCGCTATTGGAATATGGAATATGTAGTTAAATGATAATTGGTGATATTAAATTCTTTTATTTAAATGCAATAAGGAAGGACCATCTAAGCACTAGAGCTGTCGCACAGAGATTATGGCGAACTAGCCATACTCAAATTTGTAACAGCATGCACCTGCATACACACGTGCTATAGCTCTATTATTCCTTATCTCCCATTACTATAAACATCCTTTCTACATTGAACATCGATACATTTTTGCCCCATGACAAAAGCTTTCTCAGAACCATACAACAAACGCAATATCGCGAATTATGTATATGTATACATGTACTATTGTGATAAATTAATATCAGCTCAGACTATAGTAGAAAATATGAATAGTGCATTTAGTAAATTAAATCAAGATAAGAATGAAATTCGGAGAGTGCGAAATTCAGTTAATCTAAAATGTTACTTTGACATGGAAACATAAACTCCTTTTCAATATAATAAGATTTGTAGATGGATAGATATTTTACAGTGATTTTTTAATTGGCTACCATAAATGTTTCATTTTGCGTTAAAAGCTTACAGTTGCAATCTCGTGCCAAATCGTTTGAAGTCTCCGGCGTGAAAAGAAATGAGGTTTCCGATTAGAGGAGGGGGTTGCGCGGAGGAGAGAACGAACGGTTTCAACGTGTCATCAATCACATCCGTGCGGCGGAATTTCTTGGCAGGGTGGTATTTTCGCGAACTTTGAACCAGTGTAAATTTCTCGCGCCCCGTTTCATTATTTATTTTTTGGTCGACTGTCAGTACCTGACACAGAGTTGTTAATTATGTATGTACGTACCGGCTAGCCTCCTTGGCAGCGTAATATTTTCTCGGGGGTTTAGCGTATTATTATTTGGCATTAGCTCGCCGCCCGTTGAATACGTCGTTAAACCGTTTATTCGCCGCGGTAATGAACGGAAGAAATTAGTCGATGTCGCGCGCTAATCAAATTACATTAATTAATAACCACGTTTAAAAATAGTAGCTCTTTATGAATATTTCTTGCATTTTTGTAACTTTAATAAGACTCGTTAACATTATGTCTTCACACTGAATCAAGTATTGTCACTTGGTCGTTAAAGAAAGCAACAGCGTGTACAGTTAGATATTACCTACAGTGGAATCCTCTGTGGTGTAACGAGCATTTGAAAAGGAAATGATACGTGGGGAATAGTGGCGAACATGATGACACTCAAATGACTCGAGCATTCAACGTTTTCACGCGAAGCTCTATGTTCAGTCAAATAAAACAGTACGTCTATTTCAAATGTCACTTTACAGTTTGTTAAAAATTTCTCTTACTAACACTAGATTGCCTAAGGAAGTCATTTTGACTGCTTTTGGGCAAATGTACAAATAATAATGCATAAATTATTTTTTTTCCCAAGTGAAGTACATTTTTTTTATTGTTAACATTTACTAATAACTTGTTATATGACTGTAAATAATATAAAAAATATTAAAAATTAATTTTAGACAAATTTCTTTACACATTATTCTTTCACAATGCAGTCATTTTGACTGGTTTGGGCAATATAGGTATATACTAAGTTTCAGTCTTTCTAGTGTTAATTAGTCATACATAATTTTGTCAGTATTTTGTCATGATCAACCAACTTTTTCTATGAATGACCTACTTTCATTAATTTCAAGCATCTATCGTACGTTTACTATCCATACGTGACTTAAGATCCACGCTACGGGCTTGCTGTACGTGCGGCAATGATCAATACACATCGCGTGCAACTTGTCAAAGTCGAGCCACCGCGAGATCGTTAGGGACATCAAGCCTCGGCTTCAATTATTATCATCCTCGAATTCCTACGGTGTGGTTGCGAGTGCGCAAGAAGAAGGCCGGTTGGTTACCTCTTCGTGTAACGAGCGATCGAGAGGCGACGACCCTCGCGAGAAAGAGAAACGGAGAACGGGCAAAGGAGACGGGGTGTGGGATAAAGGATGAGAGGTAGTAACGCGACTACGCTAATTACGAGCAAACTCGAGGATATTCTTCCTTCTTACAACGTGTCCCGTAACGTGTGGGAAGTATTTCAGAAACTGGTTCAGAGGATGTGAAAATAAGAACGAAATCCGTTCGCACTTTGGAATGTCCATGAATCATGATACTAAAGTGTGCTTGTCGTTTTATAATAATAATAGATATATTCACGAAATAGTATATGTAAAAAAAAGTCCACCATAAAAAGAACAGATCTATACAGGTCTACCTTCTAGGACAGTCAGACACAAAGAGTCGTCCTTAATGAAAGTTCGATATCATTAAAAACTAGAAAATTCTCATAAATGGTGAGAACAACAAATACAGTATCTTAAATCATGAGGAATGAAGAGAAAGTCGCCTACAAAATAGTTTTATTACACTGGCACTTGGACTCTTCGCCTCAAGGACTGCACAAAGGCTTAACCTGAGGACGTACAGAAAGAATCCTTACTCATTAAATCAACGTCATTGCCACACGCATATATGAGAAAAAAAATGTCAAGAGGAATTTGGAATATTTGAATGAAGTTTTATGTGAACTAATTTTATATTAGAATATTATGCTGTATAATCTGATTTTATTTAATAGGGTTTTATGGTATCATATTATGTTGCAATATTATAATATCCGTTGGAACCGTGTAGAAATCCAAGCTCGTAACTTTAATACGTGTAACAAAGGAACAAATGATAGTACACGCAAACACATTGATCTTCGCTAGTTCTCGCCGAGGGGAAACAAACGAGAGTTACGGTACGCCATGGAGCGAACCGGGAACCGGAAACTAACGATTTCAATCTCGGTTCACTAAATGTCCCGCGGTCACGTCGACGTAGGAAATTATCCTTCCAACCCGACATATTTCGGCTTATCTATTTTACTTCTTGCTGTGTTTGGATCTTCCTCTGTCCATCGTTTTTGTAATTTACTGAAAAGTTCAAATAATCACCGTAGAACCGCAAATTATTTTATCTGATTGTCAGTTACATAATTGAATTCTTTCTTTTTATCGTGCAAGGTTCAGTCATTGAAACTATGATGAAGTATTCGCTATCTGTGCGCAATTGGATCGCATTCATATCGCGGAAACCGTTTTTATTCTCCTGCTATTCTCGCACGATGTTCCTCTAGCTAATTTCGCGTTTTTCCGCGGCACGAACGAGCAGATAAGTACACACACCTGTCTGTTATTTGTGGTATGTACTCGTTGTTCAATCTTCTCGAGAATCGCCATAACTTGAGGCGGTCATTCCTGAGAACAGATTGAAGGGTAATAACAAAGTATTGCATATTTGTTTTTGATCGGCTCGAAAGCGGTTAGAATTAGTAGCTCCGAGGTTTTCGAGGGAATTCTCGGATACTTGACAGGCTGATTGCTAAAATACTCCAAGTGAAAGTTTAATAGACGATTCTAAGCTATTATCGATTCCACAGATAAATAATGCTGAGTGGTACAGGAATAAATGTCAACGTATTAATAAATTCGTATATTAAAAACATTTATTAATATAATGTTTAATGTACAATAATCATAATTATGATATATTAACATTCCCCGTTACGACTTCGTCTGCATTTCCTTGCTTTTATTATCTTATTTATTGTTAAGTATTTGCAAAGTCTAAGTAACTATTATAAACAAGGATCAAGTCACTCCCTTAAGGGTGGAATTTCGACAAATCCAGAAATTGCTTTGTAGTACATTTATAAACTGAAATTTTGGCACAAGGAACAATTTGATATCTCATTAGATCGAAGAGATGTTGCAAAACTATTTCCCCTATGGAATTAAAAAAAAGTCCTTCATTAGTGAGCATCTATAACGTGGTAGGAAATTGCCCAAAAAATTTCAAGTAGATCGGTACTTGAGCTCTCACTAGACGCTGATGAACGAATCAGTCAAATCTATTTTTGATTACAACTTTCTTATCCTTATAGTCATTAACAAAATATCGTGAGATATTGAAAGCGCACGCGAACGATTACAAAGTGATACGTGAAGGAAAAGATTGATCGTCGAAAGAAAAGCTGGACAACGATTTATCACGAAAAAACCAGTTTACGTGTTATCACGATTATCTCGATCGGAAATTCTATTATACGCTATCGCGATATCGGGGCAGCCGACCGCGGACAGAAGTTAATTGCGCACGCCTCGGGGGTGCGCAAAAAGAAAATTCGAGTAATGAAGTATCTAGTGGAACGGATGGAAATCGGTTCCCCGGGCTAGCCGAGACCGTTACGAAACGTGTCGCGCAACCTACCCTCGAATCGGCGTGGATAAATGGGCCCTGGTTCTCGGATATGCCAACGAAGCCACATAAAACGTGTTCTAATGCGGTTCGAGCGACGTGCTCAATGACGCGTGCGCATCACGATTTAAATCTCCACGCTCGATCGAGCCTGCACATTGGCTCACGGTATGTCCCGCAACAACTCGCTATCTCCTTTGAAAATTAATCTAGTAACGCGTTCCGTAGGTACACGTTCGTTAGAAAAAGTGTGCCTATCTTCGAACGAAATGACGTCTGATTAGATTTCATACTTTATTCATGTAATATACGGTTTCGCAATCATAAAACCAATCCCATATTCATACACTATGTTGCTAATCCATAAAATAAAGTATAGTAAATAATGGGTATGGTTTGTTTCTGTTGCAGAGTTCGAATCTTGGCCAAGAATTACTGGACAGAGTGTTCAGACATTTGAATTTATTGGAGACTGCCTACTTCGGGTTGCGTTACTTGGACCACGGCAATCAAACGGTAAATACATAATTTCTTCTGTCTACTGTTACATAACTTGAATAAGATTTCATAAGGTCTGTAGTTACATGTTTCAATCTTAAAAAATCATTGCCAGTGTTATTAGAAAGTTATTGAAAATTTCTGAACCAGAGGAAGAATAATTCTCTGTACATAAATAAATGTTTTGATTGATACAACTGTGGGTTGTGACTCGATGCCATCGCTAGGTGGTAAAGTCCAGCGGAGATAATTAACGGAGTAGCAAGATATCGAGCAGTTTACCGTTAATTAGATTTCGAATGATGAAAAATTCATAGGAAGTACGGCCCGGGGGATGCTGATCGCGTCGACCCCGGGCAGTAAGAGGATAGGATTATTATCCACGGGAAACGTCGAACTGGCGTGCAATTTCCGGTCCAGTTGATCAACAGCTTCACTACGCTTCGATTCTGATCAAGCTGCAAAATTAATTATTCGATTGCCCCATATGAAATTTCTTCAATCAAAATCATTCACCCATTGCCAGACAGAGTTGTAATATTTGAAATACATTGTAATTCAATTACGTAATTTCATGTATGTACTGTATTTTAATTCTATAGTAATTAAATTATGTTGTAGTTTTTCAATTAATTTAATTGCTAATTATTCTAATTATAATTCTTTACAACTCTGTTGCCAAACAATATAAAAATATCAGTTTCGTTATCAATTACTAAGATTATAATATAAAATCGTCTAATACTTTAATTATTAATGATAAAGTAGCAGAAAGTGTTTGAAATAAAGTTATTTATTTGTAAGAATGATATCACTGTTGTTTAAGTGCAAGTTTCTCTTTTCTTATTTTCCAGCAATGGCTGGACCCGAGCAAGAAGATTGGCAAACAGCTAAAAGTCCAAAAAGGTGATCCTAGCTCGGACGTCCATACCCTCTACTTCGGCGTGAAGTTCTACGCAGCGGACCCGTGCAAGCTCATCGAAGAGATCACGAGGTAAGCAGATTCAATTTATCTTGTCGCACGGTAATCCGTTAACTCCTCCCGTCAGTTATACCCACCTGCTTGTTCCTAATAATTCAATCTATCGGCCGTGACGTGATTCAAAGCTGTTGCGTTTAACCTTATCCACCGTTCAGACATTCTATTTAGATTAACAAGAAAAGAAATCACTTGATATGGAACTGCCATTTAAAATAATTTATTAGAAATCAAAACAAGTAACAGAAATTAGATAATTTAAATCTTAGCATCTCGGATGCCTGTCTCGTTACCCTAATGAGTCGGGCTTAAAATTGTAGTAAGCGTGTCTGGAAATCTTTTTACACAACTGCGCCGTTCCAGCACAGCCCGAGTTAAAGAGAATTTAAAACACTTCTGAAAACGCGAATACACCTCTCCTGGCGGAGAAATTGCTCTCTCTCTGTCTATTACGATTTACTTTTTGTAATTAGATTTATCCTTCCGCTATTGGCCTATGATTTTTAAAAGAAGATCAAGCAAAATCATCTGATCGAATTTTAATTATGGCATGAGATCTGGTATTTTGTGGCGCTTAATTACGGATGATAAGATTCATGTTTCATTCGCACTTTTGTTAATTATTTTTCTCGCTAATACGTTTAGACTCGTAAACGATGAATCTCACGGACTCGTTTGATTGGCCGTAGAGGAAACCCTGAAACCGGGACAATTTTATTATTGGATACATTTGGATGCAAAGTATCGCGTTTTCATGGAAATCTGAAAATTGCCCGTTCAAAGTTACGATTATCGTCTGGGCGAGCTCTTCCAATTTTTGTACGAAGTGCAATAACGTGGATGTATTTCACGAACCAATCAGCTTCAATGTTGCATCCCAGGTAATTCAAAACGATTTTTAAGCAACGAAACCAGTTCTCTTAATTATTTCTCCTCCGAACTGAAATTCAGGCTGTTTTAACGTTACCATGCTCTGCTTTCAAGAGCTATGAGAATTATTATTTCACTGTGAATTTAATGAGTTTATCAAAGAATCAAATGTGAAATAAACTGGAAGAATATACATACATAGTACATAGAAATATGCAAAATATTAGAAGCAAATATTGCTTAATTACATAATATTTAAAAAATAGACAATTCTACAATTCTTAATTCTGATACTACATCACAACGCTATAAAACATTTTAACAATTCATCGTTGACTTCGTTTTGATACAAACATTTCTAAATTTTATAAATTAATTAACCTTTCCTTTTCATAACAAATATTCTATGAATTGGTGGAAGTAATTAAAAATAGAATGAGAGAACAATGAAATATATGAAACTCGTAAATTGAGAGAAATATTGAACAATTTTCAACAGTGGAAATGTCAAAGCACAGGTGACCCAAATAACAATTCAATTTAATGAACGAATTTTAATAGAACGAAAAGTCGGTTCGTTAAAGCGATTCAGTAATAGAGCTGCTAGGCAAAGGGAAAAAGTGACGTCTCTAAAAACAAACGAAGTCAATCTATATGTAAATGGGTTCATCTTTTATCTTGAGTGCAGGCAATCGATGGATGCTTGTCGTGAGCTCCTTCGCGGTTGCAACTGAGAGTTGGACAATGAAACTGCGGGATACCTAACTACGAGCTACCCTGCCGTCCATACATGTCTGGACAATTAATAAACTTGAATAAAACGAGCTGCATGGTTAAAAATGTACAATATGTTGATCAGAAATACACAATAGATTTATATGGAATGTATATGAATAGACAAATGCAATAGTAGATTATACTACTATGTTATCAGTTATCAATATTTCTTTTATTAAAACGCAAATCCCTAAACAGCTCGATTTTTTAAGTAAATGGACTTAGGCTACTTTCGAAATAAATGACAGTGTTTGAATGTAAAGAAAAAGTTAAGAAATTGACTTATAAATCATGGATATAAAAATTGAAGAAAGCTACGTATGCATGATTCATATCCTGCTTACTATAAATTTAAACAATACTGAAGAATCGATTTGTGCATTACTATCATTTATGTACATTCACTGAAAGTCAAGATCAATATTGATATTCGATGATAATTAACTATTTATAATTAACGTTTTCTATCTGATTAAATATCCAGCAGACTGAATGGTGCATAAAAATTTGTTGATAGTTTTCGATACCTTTTATGGTTCCATCTGGTAGTATGGAATTAGATGGGAACCGAGTATTTAGCTCCATCGTGTTAGTACATTCGGGCGTTAAAACGTGGCTCGCGAAAGTTTATGAGACTTTTACCGCCGAGTTGCGCTTGTACTATGCGACACAGGCCAGAAACCTGGACGATTCAATTCCGTCTTTTGCGGTTTACCTCGGACATTCTTGAAGCGCGACGTCATGGTCGTGTTCGTGATGCTACGAGGTGCGATTAAGGGAGGGAAAGACGATGGTCGTTGGAAAAACTATTCGGGTCTAATGATACTGGTGGCCGGTGAGAAACAGTTCCAGCTACCTGTTATAACACGTTCCCGATGTACTCTGCATTTCAGAAAAGATACTTGTCCGATGAACACTGAATTCAGAAAATATTTACTTACTTATTTAAGAATGTATTGGCTATACAGTCAATCCCAAAAGTTTACGTACTTTAGAAAAACGCAAAATACTTCAAATGAAAGTTGTTTTTCTTCTAATTTCGATATTTAACGAGTTAACTATGATTNTAATACATTTATTTTATGCAGCGCGACATTTTCCCTGGAGAAGAAGTTATATCCGCGATGAATCTGAATTTTAAAACGACAAGATGAAAGGAACGTAAACTAAAGAGAAACTTGAGATTCGTTCTAGCAAAAAGTACTCATTCATCCTGGTTATTTCCTTTCGCAGCCACTTTAGCTATTTAGGAAATCCTACTCTCTCTGGCATTTTCCAATTTAGTGAAGCAACATAGAATTTTTCAACATTTATAATTATTCAGTTGACTTAATTTCGTGAATGAAAATCTACTGAATGAAAATCTCTTCAACATGGGAATAAATATTTTATAGAACTCAAATAGCATTCAGTATTAATAATTTAGAAATACGTCTTCTTTGCCTTCTGTCTTGCAAAAGGTAAAAAGAGGCGACAGCGTCTTGTCCCTTTCGAGATACGATTTTACGTCCAGTCCCGCTGTCTGCGTTTGCTATCCTGTTAAATCCTGTCAGAGAACACAGATTATACGGGATCCCTGCCGTGCGTCGAGAACCCCTTGAATTGGGGATTTGTGTAATCGAGTGTTAGAGAAATCCGTGCAAAACTGGATACGTAGATATTCAAATAAGATCAGAATTCAGTATTACGTATACATATATCTACTGCAGATATCAAAATATGTACGTTCCATCTAATTAAATTTATAACTGAAGCATTTTGTTTGTCCTTATAATTAGTCGCTATAAGTAACCGAGGTTCAATGGCCAAAGTAGGAATACTAGAAATAGGATGAGTAGAAGTCAAGATGAAATAAGTTAAATTTAGGGTGTTTGTCGGTGAATAAACTACGTCCAACAGCAGTTCCAAAAAGTATCTTTTGAGGAAACACTTTATCTCATTTAATTTCATTTCATTTTTGCAAATTCTTCCTATATTCTTACTACAGCTACTATTATTAGCTTTATTTCCATGTTTATCATGCTTATTTAACCAGAAACTTCGTGCGCGCATAGTAAGATCGACCGGGCCAGTACAAAACTACTTTGCCAACTTTCGCGTCGTCGATTTGCATATTGCGTCAGCAATTACCAGACATTGCGCCGAGGTTGCGAATATAGAAACAAACATGGTCCAAGTGCAACGAAATGAACTTCATTCTCCGTTTACGGTCACAATATATGAGAAAACTTTTTGTAATCAAAGTTCATATTATAATGTAATGAAACGTGGAACTAAATACCAATTGAATAAACTTTAAGTATAGAATAAGAGTATTTGTACATACTTTAAAACAGTATAACTTTATTAATATTGGTCGACAAGATTTAAGGTAGTCAAAACTTTATGTCCAATATTTGAAGCAATGAACTTTTAGAAAAAATGATAATTACAGAGGAGTAAGGTTTATAAAATTGTTCGATCTGTTTTTCTCAGTCAAGGAATTTTTAATGCATAATTTCTAATATTCTAATCCATAATTCTAGCATTTTTTTATTGGACTATACGTGACTTGCAACTGCCTACATTGTCTACATGTCCTATAATTCTTACTTTTGCATACCTTCTATTGTATATCTTAAATAATATCCTCGGCATTGGCAATATTTCAACTCTAAAATATTCTTACATCATGTATTGAAAAATTGTACAAAATTACAAAATTCTGTCATTGTTGCATTCATACACACATAAAACAGTTATAATAATAATAATATATAAATTATTTGAAATTGATTATTTTAATCGGATTAAAAATTGATATAGCTTGACAGTCTAGCGAATGTATGAAAATTTTGCATTGCGAGAGAAACTAGACGCGGTACCGCGACGTCGCGTCGCGTCGATTAACGGCTTCGAGGGTCCGTGAAACTCGGCGAAGGAGGAAGTTACGATCTCTGGGTGGATCGTGGGCGGACATTAGTAACGATAGGCAGCAGCCGTGAGCCGCCTTGTACAACCGTTTCCGCGCTACCGTGATGAAGGAGAGCCGTGTAACTCGATTTTGTTGGCTTAAACGCTCGTAAAGCAACACGACCCGGAGACATAACTATCGATTAAAACGATACGGGACGGTGTTGTCCCGATTGCGAAATAGGCAAACCATAAACAATGAATTTAAATTAGAACTGACTTTATTGCTCAAGGTTCCATGGGTGTCGACAAAAATAGCTTGATTTATCGACTTTCGTTAATATTTATCATAAAGAAGGCCCATAGTAATTGATGAATAAACTGCTGATTTATAGAAAAAACATTTTTCAAACTGATACTATAAATGTTTCATTGCATAAAAAAAATCTGCGATCTATTGATGAAGACAATGAATCATCCGAGTATTTAGGAATATTTTGTTTCGAAAAGATATGCGCAGAAAGTACGAGAAATAAAGGAAGCAAGAAAAACGGCCTACCGAAACGCCTATCTACCGTTCGAGTTCACTGATGCTCTATAATTTTCATTTTCGGTAGATAATTGCCAGTCGCTGGCTAATTGGTACGGTCCGGGCGCGGCGAGAAATTCGCTGCCCAAGGCTAAACGCGCTCTAATATCTATGGTCAAGAATCCGAACTTTACTCGTTGAAGAGAGGGCTACGAGAGGTGTTTCCGTTTTGATCCCGAGGGAGGGTCAATACTCTCGTCTGATACAACAGCCATTCAGCCGTTCTGCGAACTTCGCATAGTTTCAGCAATTTCCGTAACGCGAGCTTCGCTGAACGCGACTGACCGATGCTTGTTAATTTTAGTTGTGTTGAACTTATCAATGATGTTTCCATCAAAATCTACATAGTTTACTGTTACATTAGCAGTCCATTTAATTTCAATTCGCAAACAATATAAATTTAAGATGTAGTTACCAGAAATGAAATTACAACTGTAGATNAATACAATATAAATAAATAAATCATATTTTTATATGGTTTGAACTTTATGGCTGCAAACGGTTACGCTTTATTCCCAGCTGTTTTGCCTAATGTTAAGAATGACAGAGGGAGAACTGATGAAGTATTATAAAGCTTCCGCGACGATTTATTCAAATACCATGCGGAGTATTAATAAACCGAAGAAATGGAAATCAGAACGGAGGAATAAAAGGGGACAAGAAGCATCCGATTCAGCGACACGCGGGAAGGAAAAACGGGCGACGGGGTAAATCTTACAGAATTACCCTAAAAGGAATTTCGCAGGTAATCCTTGCATCAGCAGCAGACCGAGGGGTAAAAAGAGATAACGTAGGAGAGAAGAAACAGAATTCGGAACAGGAGAAAAGTCCCTGGGGGATTCGAGGCCTGGGGAAGGATTCACGCAGCCCGGGATGGGGAATTATTCATGCGTTAATAAACACCGTTCGGGGATCGTGTGTATCAAGAAAATGAAATAGAAAGAGAGTTTATCGCACGACAAGGCAGGCGAGCTTTAAGGCGGGAATGTCGTTTTACCGCGGAGGATACGAATCGCTGCGACTGAACGGAAGACGTATAACTCCTGAGGGCATGAATATGAACAAGCATTAAAACCTTATCCTTCGTTGTGTTTCACAAAAGAAGCTGGTCAAGTTTTTGCCCAGAGTTATGATGCGTTATTAATATATGCCAATGAATAATTGAATTCTCCGGGTTTATTAAATGCCATTGTGTTTATAAAGAAAATGCTTGTACACATTTATTACGTTTTGAAATGAAGTCCTGTTTGCGTTCATTGTCTGGCGAACGATCGTACTGTAAATATTTCACGCTGTGTCAACAAGGCTTAACGGAAAGAGTAGATGTACTTTTATTGTTCCGGTTTACGGATCGGGTTCGTAAACGGGACAACGGAAAATCCAAAGGAACAATCGAGACGAACGTGAAATATCCCCGGGGGTCAGGATCGGGTAGGAGGGACGACAAGTGGGACGGGGGATGAAAACGAGTCTGGTGGATGAGCAAAGAAAGTGGCGGCGCGAGAGATTGGCAGGCAGAAAATGAAGAAAAAGTGAGGATGGTATGAGAAGAAGAGAAGGAAAATATGCTAGCGAAAAGGAATCTGCGTGCAAGGGAAAAGTTACTGCAGTTCATAAAAGTATATGGAAACCTTAGCGTTTTACAGTTAATTTTTGTTCATACGTTATCTCAATGATTAATACGATCTTTCATATAAAGATTAATACATTAGTTCATGTGGTACGAATGTCTCATACAGTGATTGATAGAATGATTAATATATTAATTGCTGTATAGGCAAGTTATGCAAATGGATGAACCGTTTCGCGCGTAAATGTGTACACGATATGTAAATTCGTAACAAGAAAAATTGAGAAAACTGCGAGTGACATCGTGAGAGAAAAGGCTGCGCAACGCAATGAATGGGCGAAGAAAAAAGGAAGCAGCGAAGAAGTCCTTTAACGATGAGAAGAGGAGAGAAACCGCGAGGGGAGCACGCGATGGTTAAAAACGAAGTTCGCTGCGAGGCGAGCCGCAAGTTGACCCCGTCGTAATCATCTTCCTTTTTCCCTGCCCTCCTTCTCTTCGTTTTCTTCTTCTTACGCTTCGCTTCTTTCGCGTCTCTTACGCGCTTAACATTCATGCCTGTCACACGTCATTAACCGTACGAAGAGAAATATCGAAGTGGCCTCGCCGACAAATAAATAAAATATTCCGTATTCAAAAATTCTAACCCGTTTTCACCATGCGATCAATGAAGAAATGCAAACGAGTATTCAGATCTCAATGCGTATTTTGTAACGTAGCGATTTTTGTTTGATTGTTATACAGGTATCAGTTCTTTCTGCAAGTGAAGCAGGACATTCTGCAAGGAAGACTACCAGTTTCGTTCGACTTGGCTGCAGAATTGGGAGCCTACGTCGTACAATGTAAGTTTTTTATTCATTTAATTGCAATTGCAATTTTTATTTTTTACCATTCATTCAATCAGAGAAAATGGGAACTTCTCTTCCGCGAGAATTTCATGTTTTTTAATGAGAGAAGTTATAATTTCCCTATGGAAACGCATCGTCCTGAATATAACGGAAGCATGCACGAAACGCAATCAATCAGATGGTTAATGCTCGCTCGATTTCTTCTCGCAACGAGGCCTTCCGTCAGACGCGGCTGAACGCAAAGATTATTACTGCTTCTAATGAACGTTATGATTAAAATTGGTGCCTTTAATTAAAATCTCGGGGTATTAATCTTTTCAAGGTCAAAGAAAGTTAAATGAACGCGGGTAAAAAGATGAGTACAGCGAGAATCAAAAGTGTGTACATCTAAAAAAATGTACATACATGTAAATGTAGTTTAATCGTTTAATCCGGGGACACCCTGTATGTAGTGCTCTTCACTTGAACAGCCTGGGATAAAAATTTATATACATTCATGTTTATTTCAAAGAAAGAAATTATGGTCAAAATTCTTGTTCACTAGTTAGATTGATTTACAATATGAATTAGTAAATAGCAGTAATTTATGTTAATGTGCACACTTGGAAAATATGTTGTTATTATAAATATGAGAGGCTTTCAAGTTTCCACATGAATAGTCTCAAGTGTTTAGTCACAGTTAGTTGATGCTATACGATAGATTAGAGAGGAAATATTTGTAACAATTCTACATTTAATAATGTTACATATCTATGTTATTTTATTCATGTTATATACATTTTGCTGGGGGAAACTGGTTTGAGCTGTTCGAAGTTAATGAAGTGAACAGTACTGTTTACGATTTTTGTAAAAATAGAGAAATGTATTAAGAAAGTATTTACTTTTGATTCTTACTGTATGTATAAGCCGGTTAATACCGTTGTGGCAATAAGCGAGCCCATCGTTCCGCAAAGCACGGATTAAATCCATTTAATATCAAGCAACCGAGGAACGAGACAATTTTTCTTTCAAATTAAAAGAGAATACCCGAGCGAATGCTAATTAAACGAAATAATTGAAGGCCAGAGCAGTCGCGACTGTGCGAAAAGAATTTGAAAAACACGGAAGAACTCACTGGACAAATTCGAGGAAAACTTGTGAAACAACTTCGAGCCAATTCCTATCTTCGGTAAACAGGACGTTTTCTGTAATCGTAGAAAAAAAGACAGCTGCTAATTGAATCCGGGAATCGCGTCCAATTAAGGGGAGACAATTCGAAGAAACGAACGTGCGAGCCGTAGTTCGTAGGTAAAAGGAAAATCGCTTAAGCAAGTAATCTCTGCGAGACAATTGCCAACGTAAACCTCAAATGATTCTCGCGAGTCTCTCATTCGAGATTAGAATTCTGAAAATGAGGCGTACCTCCTTCTGTTCCCAACCACTCGTATCGTCTTCCGGATTATACAAGGCGAATCGTATAACAAAATCATATAAATCGTTCTGTTGTTCTTTAAATAATATTTCATCATTTTGAATCGAATAGGGCAACATATCAAAATAAATGAAAAGGTGGAAAAAAAGAGCAGCAGATACTGCATACAATATTTGGTTTATTTTCACATGCACAAAGGAAGAGATCAAAAACAATTTTCATAGGCAAATTAAAAGATTCACCCTGTATATCATAGATACGTCCTTGAGCACCTGCACGAAGGAAGAGGATTCTGGTTTCATCTGCCGAGGATAAGAAAAATATACACGATAGTACTTGGTCTTGTGTAACACTTGAAAACGTAATGCTCGATCTCGTTAGACTGGTTTCTGCGTAATTATCGATGATAAACGGTCGATAATCGTCGAACGAGATACCACCGGGTGCTGGTTTCGTGGATTGTCAGGATCTCATAAAGTTAGAATGAACTAGTTAACGATTGGCTTCGGACCAAACATCGTTTTTGCGTTTAGAAAATTACGTCCGCTGATATCCTTTTTTAAAAAAAGTTATAA